CTTATGATACTAGAGATCGCAGTTTGGTTTCTAAGGAACCGTCCATCCATCATGGTGACCCTGCTATCTTTTTTGATGAGTCGAATGAACAATTTTTGGAGGAGGCATACATGTTTACCCTTGTTGGTAAATTTGTCAATTGTAAACCTTCTAGGATCAAGGTACGTGAAAATTTTATGCGTTTTGGTTTTATTGGTGATTATAAGATTGGCCTGATTGATGATGCATACATTATCATTCATATGGGGCTCGAGGATGATTATTCACGATTATTCCTCAAACCCACTTGGTATATTGATGGCTATCACATGCGGGTTTTTAAGTGGACCCTCAGTTTTAGTCCTAAGTATAAGGCTTCTATTGCTCCATATTCATTTTCGGGCTAAGAGCGCATTATTTGCTATAGCTAAGGCTATTGGGCTCCCACTTCATATTAACGAAGCAACTTCTGATTTTCGACGACCCAGTAAGGCCCAAGTATGTATTGAGGTTTATCTGAAATGTAAACTTTCTGATAGAGTATAGATTGAGAGGGAGAAGATGGGGGATATTGGTAATCTGTTGTATATGATAAGGTACCAGACTTTTGCTTTCGATGTAGACACTTTGGATATTCGGATAAGATTTGTTCTAGTAGTTTGCATCCTGCCCCACCTTCTATGGGTCTGGTTGTTGTTGACCTAACTTATAGGCCTAATCTAGTTTTGTTTAAGGATAATGGTAAGGTAAAAGAGGTTGTGACTGCGTCTTGCCAGAGCTGGACACCTATTAAGAGAAATCAAAGAAGACAAGACAGTACATTAGAAGTGATTTTTCATTCTACTCCTTAAATAGTTACACTATTGCTTCTATTATCCCCGTCACTACAGTTACTACATCACAGATAGCTACTAATCATATGGCCCCAAATTTTTATATTGCTCCACCTGTTATTGGCAATGTTGCTTTACATATAGTAACCTATCTACCATCAGATCATTTTACAGTTGCACCCATTAGGGTGGATAGAGTTCTCCTTTTATTACATCAGGTCCGCATTTAGTAGTTCAGACTCTGGACCCCAACAGCAGTACACCTATGATGGTTAGTTCTACATATTTTGATCTTCTTTTGGTGGATAAGTTAGTGAGACCACAGGGTTATAAGAAGTCAGATGTTCTTATTATTTCTGCACATTATCAGCAGAATATGGAGGCTTTTTCATCTACAGATCATTCAGATTATGATGTTTTTTCTCTTATTGAACTTCATCAACATGGTTCATATTATCAATCTTCTGCTAATGATTTGGCAGGTATGGCTGGTAGGATAGAAGAAAATAGTTTTGTCCCAGTTGGTCGAAAATGAAATGCGAAAGCCACTGATACTTTATTTCCTAGGATGGTGACACGATTCGGTCACATGATACCTTTTCACGTACATCTAGATGAGTACCATCATATGAAATGCGAGAGGTATAGCTAGTGTAGCTACTCGTTGGCGCCTGAAGAGAGTTATACAGTTTCATCAGGTTTATCTCTTAATTATACTAGAGCTTTTTGTTCTTCAACATAGATTTGCATATATTTGACGATATTTGCGCTTTGAAACAGGAGTTCAGAATGTGTCGAAAAAGATCTAGTTTTTTGGAACGCGGGGACTACTGTTACTGTTATTGTTGATTATCCCCAATTCCTTCATGTTAGAGTTGAAGATCCCAAACCAGTACGTCCCATCTATCTGACTCTTGTCTATGCTTCATGTAACCTAGCTATCATGGAGGATTTGTGGTGCTTTCTCTAATATGATGTTAGATTTTGATTTGGAAGACGCTGGTTTCCTTGAGAATCGGTATAACCAACGGTCGATTCAGAAAGAGACTGGATATGGTACTCATTAATTCTACAGATGTAGCATTTTGTTACAGCTTACAGTGAGGCACTTGAATCAGACTTCATTTGATCATTTGCCTTTATTACTTCCATGAGTTTCTGATGATGATTTGATGCCTAGACCTTTCAAATTCCTCAACGTTTAGACCAAGTATCATGATTTTTCATCATTTGCCTCTCATAAGTGGTCGCTCCCTACTCATCTTACGGGGATGGCCGCTCTTTGGGAGAAGTTCTTTAGGCTGAAATAGGGACTGGGTTGGTGGAATAGATATGTGTTTAGAGATGTTTTCCAATGGGTGCAACATGCTGAGCATATGGTGGATGAGGCAGAGACAGTATATGATAGAGACTCTATACCGGAGTATCGTAACCTATTACATCATGCACATGCAGTTTTGAACTGGACCTTATCTATTGAGGAGGATTTTTGGAAGCAAAGGCCGGTTAAAACGTTAGGTATGTGAAGGAGATCACAATACTCGTTATTTCCATGCGATGGTTTCTGGACGTAGGATCAAATCGCGTATTAGGTCCTTCAGGATGCAGGGAAGTCTTAGCTACTCCAGCTGAATTCAGACTTCAGTTATTGCATTATCAGGATCTTCTATTTGCTCCTACACAGCTATTAGACCCCATTCGTTTTGATATCATCCCCAGGCTTATGACGGTAGACGATAATTTGACATTAAACCGCATTCTTTTGATTTATGAGGTACGCGAGGCAGTGTTTAGTATCGTTACTAACAGTGCTGGGGCATTAGTCAGGACTATATATACAGCGCAGTCTTGGACTTCTTTGACGGCGGCCATCTTCCATGGGATTTTGTTGCTACTACTATAGTATTTCTTCCCGATGCTTATATATGGACTGACTTCAGATCCATCAGTTTATGTATAGTGTTCAATAAGCTTATTACTAAGCTTTTGAATACTAGTTTGAGCACACTGTTATCGAGCATTATCTCTTCTCAACAGTGTGGGTTCATTCTTGGTGTTCTAATTGGGGACAATGTTCTATTGGTTCAAGAGCTTCTCCATACTATGGATGATAGAGTGCAAGGGGATAACACTATGCTGAAGCTAGACATGGCTAAAGCATATGATCCCATGGATTGAGGTTTCATTTATGATGACCTTATCTAGAAGGTCAGGGATAAGATCTCAGATTGGGCTTCATGACTTTTATCATATGGGGCCGTATTACTTTACTGAGATCAGTGCTCTCATCCATGCCATTATAACTTCCCAGATCATGCAGTCTCCTAAGGATATCCTGAAGAAACTTAAGAACATCTTGCGCGATTCCTATGGGATTCCAAAGAACAGGCTCGGCGTTTACATTGGTGGATCTGGAAGGAGATTTGCCTTCCTACGGATCAGGGTGGTATAGGCTTTAGGAGATTACAGGATGTGGTGGACGATTCCTATGGGATTCCAAAGAACGGCACAACGTTACATTGGCGGAGATGGAAGGAGATTTGTCTTCCTACTGATAAGGGTGGCCTAGGTTTCTAGAGATTACAGGATGTGGTGGACACCTTCTCCATGAAGCTTTGTACTTGTTCCATTTTCAAAGATCTCTTTAGACCCAATTCTTACGGGGCAAGTATTGTATATGGACACACCATTTATTTGCAGCAGTTCCCTATTTAGCTTCTCCTACTTGGAAGATGCTGAAATTAGTAGGGCCCCAGACAAAGCCATACATTGTATAGCACCTTGGTGTATGTTAGATTTTCTTTTGGCATGATTGTTGGATGGGTAAGACCACAATATCATCAAACCAGGTTGCAGATGCTCTTACTGCTGAGGTTTGGGATCATCGACGATATCAGGTATATTGACTACTTGACCTACCACGACATATTATGGCACTAGTACAAATTAACATACATGAATTGCCCAGTGCCAGAGTTCGATTTTTATTTTTACTTCTGGTTCTTATTTTTGTCTTAATTTACATTAGTTCTTATCGTAAAGGAAGTAGTACTTCCTTATTTAATACTTTATTCTTTGTCATTTATTTTCATTGTAAGGTAAGTAGTATTTTCTCATTTATTGCTTTCATAATTTTCATGTAACCACGGTATTCCACCACTACAAGTGAGTGCATATTAATAAAATCTCGAAAATACCACCCTCGTTTAATTAAAAAAATTTGTTAGTGGGATCAATGATAGCCGTTAAACAGTTATCAATCAACTAAAAAAGATGTTTAGACAGTCAAGACTCGTGATGACCGATCTATCATAAGGAGAGTCATCTAGCATAGCTTTAGTCGACTAACATGACGAAATTTAGGGTAGCACAACGGTAGTCGGTCTACAATAGTGGTACCATGGTAGTAGTTGGGCTAGCATAGCAGTAATCGCTCTCGAGTTATCATAGTGGTAGTTATCTAGCTAATTTCCTTCTTTTGGTTTGCCATCGTAATCAATCATTTATATCACACAATATTAAGTACATTTTTTTTCTGTCCTTGTGTATTCTCTATTTTCTCTTTCTTTCACTCTCTCAATACTTTCGCCCTCCAATTTGAAGGCTGCCGTGTGTTCTCCTCTCTACCCTGTTCTCTTCATGCAACAATTCTATATGAAAGGCTCCAATTAGCTAGGCTAATTTTATTCTCCACTGCAGCCAGCATTAAAAGATGGGGTTCACTCTGTCACGTACAATCTAATCTTTACATCGGGAAATACCTCGAGAAATTTTTGAGTTTCCTTTTCACAAGATTTTCGAGTAATATAAGCATTCATATCAGGTTAGATAAAGTAAACAAGAGTTTCTAGTTCATTTAGTTATTGTAGTCTTTTTCGTCAACTTCAACTAAATTGCTTAAAGAAGATTTTAATAAAAGGACAGTATCGAATGATCAATTTGACTGAGCTAATCCAATTGGAAGACAAACACACATCGTTTGTTTCTATTTGTATTAGAGTGTAAAATATAACCCCTATTTGGCAGAGATTGAAATCAAATTTTTAGTAGATTTTGATAATAGTTGATGAAATGTGTGGTTAAAAAGTTGTAGATGATATAAAATGCGTGTTTAAAATTAATTTTCGACTTTAGCTTGAAATTTTTATTGGAGTTTAATCCAAACCAAACATGCTCATTAAATTATGATCAAATAGAATAGCTCCAAAGCTCCATCTCAGCGTCACTTTCCATGTCATCCCAGCTTAAACTGTGGTCTAAACTAGGTGGTGGTGACATCAAAACCCCTCCCATGTTAGTCACTGAATCCTCATTCATGTAAGAAACATCACAGTCTGATAATGTTTTCGTTGTGTCCAGTGTTGTCGAATTGCCACCAGAAACCCCCGTAGAATCCATCACATTTTCTTGCAATATTGTCCCACCACCCTCCTCCGGCGGCCTAAACAGTTCTGCTGCCTCTAACGCCGCCTTCTGAATATCCTTAACATCCTTGGACACTGGCACGGGCAAACGCTGAACAGAGTCAGCGAAATTCAGGCATGCCAACTGACCTCTGAATGCCAATGCAGCCACATCGTGAGCACGTGCGGCCATTTCTGCTGTAGGATAAGTTCCTAGCCATATCCGTTTTTGAGTGCTCGGTTCGCGTAACTCGCATACCCATTTGTTTGAATTCCTCCGCCTAATGCCTCGATAAACCGGGTGGCGCGTTTCCTTGAACTTCTTCCTCCCGGCACGTTTCTTTGGCCGACTCGATGCTAGAATTACCTCTTCATCAGAATGTCCCTTTGAGGATGGAATCTCCGGCGTGTCGAAAACGCCAAATGGATTTGGATCAGAAGATGAACCTATTGAATCCATGAAAATTATATAATCAATGTTGATTTTATTTTTCTGCTTACTGAAGTGTTTTTATGGAATGGGCAGACGATAGAGGCTTTTATAAGAGGAAAGTAGGGAACACGTGCATCACTGCCTATACTTTGGAGACAGGGAATATAAAATGCCACTAAATTCAAGGTTGGCAAGACACGTTGTATTGTGGGCCCACTTTTGGAGGACATTGGGGGCCACACTATAACGAAACGTGTTATAGTATGTGACGTGGCAATAGCATACTTTAAGGTAAACAAAAGTTGTTTTGACAGTTGAGTCAATCACACGAGTGTGCATCGCCTGTTGGAGGAAACAAAATTGTGGCACACGAACACGGATGTCACACGCAAACTTAGCACAGTTTGATTGAGCTAAAAAAAAAAGTAATTTATTGCATATTTTATGAGATTCATAATTTATCAATCGTACATATCATCAGCTTTCATCAATATCTATTAAAAATAATTTTTTAATCTAAATAAATATAGGCTTAGGATGTGTTTGATGAATATTATTGAGCAAATAATGTGTTTTAAATAGTGATATGATGAGAAATACGTGGTTAAAAAGTAAGGAAAAATTATTGATGTGATAAAAATATTATTTTATTTAAGAATGTGTGGTTGAAAATAAATTTTGAAAAAATATGTACCAAACATAGGCTTAATGTATTGACGCGAATATTTACTTTCATTTTCTTTCTCACATTGTTCACGTAGTTTGTTTCGTATCTAACCATTATACTACTACTACTATTATAAAAGCCTAAAATGTGATAGTAAAATCGAACCTCAAACTTGAGTCTAAGCCCTTGTTTGGCCTTTATTAAAATTATAATTCATTTTTCCTCATCTTCCTATCAATCACACATTCTCCAATAAATAATATTATACATAAATAAAAAAACTTTTTCTTTTTTCTTAACCACACATTTTTCAAAAATCCAAAAAGTGAAATAGCAAATAATGAGTGCCAAACGGGGGCTAAGTGGAATGAAATGTTTTGTTATTTTTTAAAATTATTTAAACTATCTAAAATCATTAATATTTATTGTCGTGCACATTCAGGATCGGATTATAGGCCGGATTAATACGTAAAAAAAAACAAAAAATTACATATGATTTTTTTTCTAACTAAAAAAATTTCAGTGGATGGGGACTGGACTGGGTCCTCCATCCGTCCCTGGATGGATGCCAAACATCTCTTGAATTTTCCTAGTGAAAAATAATACTATGTTATAATAACTAATGATGAAAAGATTATTCACGATGTACCTAATGCGCCTATCGATAATGATTACAATTTAGATGATAGCTGATTTTATCAATAGATTCACCAAAGGAAGAATTTCAAGCACCATAACATTAAATAATTACTTTCTAGTATTCCAAATGGGTGGGTAAATAATTACTTTCTAAGCAACCAAATTTGTATATGCATTGCACAATAACTAGGAATGAGCTCAGTTGGAAGAAAATGTATGCAACTTTATATGCATATACATCTCCTAGGAAAAAAATTGAAGTATTTTATTATAAAGTTCCTTAATATGTATTATAAAATTTTATGTATTTAACAGAAAAAGAAATGAAGTAATTTTAATATGCATTGTAAAATCTTATTGTTTAACTAATTATTATTTTAATTTTCATTGGACCACAGAAGGTTTTAAAATAAAAATATTATCTTATACATTTAATGAGATTATTACTTTTCAAATTAGGATTGAAAATATTTATTATTTAAGAGGGGTTTTTCATTTATTGAATTATATATTTTTGTCAGTCTTAACAAATTTTCTCATCTTCTTGTTATTTTTTTTTTTTTCAAAATTAAATACACAAAATTAGGGATATTTTCTCTTACATAAATAGAGAAGTAATATGCACGAGACAAGACGATGATGTGAAATCAACCGTGTGTAATTCGTAGGTTAATAACAGTAATTAAATGCAAAAAAAAAAATGTCATGTGACGTTAATTTGATGACAGGCAGATTTTAGGATATTGAAAAAATAAAAATAAAAATAAAAATAAAATCCTTGCCTTACTGGCTATTGTGGGGCTACAGTTGGACACTTTTCTGAATTCAGTGTGGATTAAATATTAAAGACTAGAGTAGTGGGATTTTGCCCATACACTTCGGTTGTCCCCTGTCATCCACTTGAAACAGACCGCAAAGGATCTGCCGTTACAATGACTATTATGCCTTTATATAATTGAAAAAGGAAAAATGAATTTCTGTCCACATCTCCAACTCCTTTACTGCGACGACTTCACCCTCTTTTGCAAATAGCAAAGAGAAACAAGATGGGGATTGGACGATGATGAAGCATACTGTTGCGATAGCTCGTTCTAAAATCTTAGATTGGTGATTTCTGAACTCAATTTCATGTCACATATCTCTACCGAACAACCAATAAAAACAGTTTCGACTCACAACTAATTAATCGCTTATGGTTGTTTCTCAATCTCACCCACAAAAAAAAAAAAACAATATATTGGTGTTGATTTGCAAGGCACAAATGCAAGAAGAAAACAATGAATAAAGCACAAAAAGGAGACCAAAATCAAGAAGGCAACCACCGATTTTTAAATACAAAGCAGCCGATTATTTTCTCTCCAAAGGCAGTAACGTTTTCTCTTCTTTTACACACAAATCACACACAAAAAGGGCTAGGGCAAGACAACCATATATATAGATATGGGTTAAGCTTTAGTTTGACCAAGAAAGGGATTAAATGGGCCAATATTCAAGAGCCATCCAATAAGCATTAATTTGGGCCGTAATCATATCTCAACTATTAAGTATGCACAACTCAAATAGGGAACAATACATAAATAAAGTATTTAAGTATCACCATTTCAAAATTAAGGTTTGAAGTTTTAAATTTCAAAAATCAGATTTTCATTAAAATTTATTTATAATTTAATTAATTAATTATATATTTAATTAATAAATATATAAAGGTCACGAATATATACAATTTGGTCACAATTCAAAAATTTTAAGGTCACAATTCAAAAATTTTATAGGTCACGGTTCGTTCATCGGTCACAAATTAAAATTTTAAAATTCACAATTGTTCATCGGTCACGAATCACAAAATTTATAAGTCACACAAATTATTTTATGGTCACAGAACATCAAATTATATGTCACATATTACTTTTATTGGTCACAAATTAATAAATTTGTAGGTCACAAATTATTTGTAGGACACAGAATCAAATTTTTTATATGTGTCAACTATTTTACTGTCACAATTCAAAAATATTATAAGTCACAGTTTGTTCATCGGTCACAAATTAAAATTTTAAAAGTCACAAGCAACCAAATAATATTTGACCACCAACAACGACTACAACCTCACCA